GTCGATTTCGCACGAATTTGCCTATTTCTTAAGCCGATTGGCGATTATGAATTATGCGATTATGCATTTTTCCTCGAAGAAATATTGAAGATCAAATTTATTGAAGAAATTTATTCAAGTGGAAGTATACAAGATCTGCATATTTATTTAATCCGTAATAAAATTTTATGTGAAATAGAGACCGTATAATTTAGTAGAAGCTTACCTTGTGGAACATTTTTGAATTTGTGTCGCATATTTCCTTGATTAAATAATTGATATCTCGCAATGTTTAGCATCTGCGCGATACTTTGTTTCTCAACGCTTGAATAAATTTTAGAATCACTTATAAATTACACATCACTAGTACGCAATTTTTGAAAACTATTAATATATAATTTGCCGTCGATTAATACATTTGCAACGGAGCATGGAAATAATCGTCGTCCATCTACAACCGTAGACTGATTTTATACGCAAAGTCGGCGTATTTATATATTTGGAGTAATCACGGTCTCATCGCTGTACAGTTAGGAATGCCAGTTAAACCTGCTGCCAGCTACATAAAACACGAGTAAATTAAAAAAAAGCGCAAATCGGGAACATTGAACATTTAAGGATGAACCGAAAGACTGAACGAGCTTATTTGAATATCGAATGCAATTTAATTTAATTCACAGTTTCCAAAAAATAAAACATTTTCTACACTGTAAAAAAATTTTTGTGTAAATTTACAACTATTATAGTGGGTAATATTGAGACCAACTATTAAAGGTGTACATTTACATACATATTAGTAAATTTACATTTCATAGATAAAATTATCTTAAATGGTACGTAAGCATCTTGTACTAATAAATTTACATGTTAGAAGTAGATTTCTAGAAATGTTTATGTAATAATACGTTTTGTATATGTATTTATACAATTTCACATATTAAATTTAATTTAAAATTACATACATAATTAATGTAACAATTACGCTATTTATAACGAAAATATAAATATATAAATATATAAATAAAAATATATAAAAGTTATAAAATATTTTAATGTCGCTAGTCAAATAATTAAAGGATCATTGAAATAATATAATCGACCAAACTAGCCAGAAAATTTTGTGCAGTTTACAAGATTATCGTCTATGCTTGTCTCCTGATCGGTATTAAAATTGTTCACGCTTTAATTCGAGAGCGTACTATGTATTCAAATCGTTAATTAATTAATTATAAATCTTTATTCCAGTATATACTTGATAAGGACCACAACTATATGGTCGAATCATCGTATTAATAAACAAAATTTTTTGGCTAGTTTGGTCGATTACATTATTTCAATGATCCTTAAAAATATATAAATTCATGTAGTTTTACAAAAATTAGTATTTTATTATAAAATTAATATTTTACTCTTTATTGTCAAGATTCGTTTATATTTGATAAGAAATTACAAGGTTAAAAGTAATTTTTAAATTTCATATAAATGTTACAAAAAATTGTACATTTACATAAAATCCAAAAATTACACTTTTAACCTTGTAATTTCTTATCAAATACGAATATTTATACAATAAAGAGTAAGAAAACTAATTTTTGTAAAAGTACATGAATTTATATGTATATTTCTATTATAAATAGCGTAATTGTTACACTGATTATATGTGTAATTTTACATTTTTTTACAATGTAGCCTATTTCCTCGACAAAATGATAAAAATTTTACTTAAATACATTTATTAATCATACAAGAACGATAAAACATTTAATTAAAATAGAGATTAATTAATTAAAATTAAGGTGGGGCCGAAGATACTCTTTCAAATATTACCATTATGAGTTTCTGATAGCAATTCATGTTCCGGCCACGCAATGATTATTATACATCTTGGATAAAAGTACCAATAGCTGATGAAAATTAAGTATCTCTGGACACGCATACTGTCGAGGATTACGTGGCTGCGAGAAATAACGCGTGACCCCGCCGGGAAGATTTGACCGATACTCTCTCTGTCTTTCTCTCGGTCCAAAGAAAGACGTGCATAAAACAGTCCCGCCACGCATTTCTGGGTGGGGTGCGTGAAAGATGACCGATGCTCTAAATAGTAGTGGTGCTCTCACACCAGCGTGTCCTCCACTTGACAGGGCGAGTGCTTCTCCGAATCGAATTCTGAAACATCGTTAGCAGCCAAATAATCGGGCCGTGAATGCCTCGTTGATGACGTCCGTTATGATACAAATATGACGGCTCCCCTGACAAATATCGTTCGAGAAAGCGCGATTATGAGGGATGTCGCTCGTAAATTCCTACAGGGTTGATCAGAAAAGTTCGAGAAGTGAAAATCGTGACAAAATTCAGTTTCGATCAAACTTTATTCAATGAAATAAATTGTAAAGTGATTAATATGGAAATATATTTATATAACTTATGCGAGAAGGTATTTTTTAAAATTAATAAATCATACTAATCGCTACAGTTAATATAATAATAATATAATATAATAATAATATGTTAATATAATAATAATATATATAATAATAATAAAAAATTAAAATTAATCAAAGTGGTTGGATAACAATCAAAATAAAATAAAGATAGGAAGGCGAAACCACTGCGCTTGAGGTTTTAATTCAATGAGAAAAAGTGTAATAAAAACAGAATTAAAAATTTTTATCAATATAGATCTGGTTCGTACTTATCTTATAACAGGAGAACTAATTTATTTAATCATTGATTCCTACACAGAAAAAAAATAAGTGTCGAATCAAAACTTACTTAAACTAACGCGTTCATTGTTTCGTATATACGCAACAATTTATAATCTTCTTAGGAGAATTTAATAAGTTTAAATTTCAACAATATTACAATCTTATTTTAATATTGTAATTGTCATCTCAAGAATATATAATTATTTAATTCTACTTTAAGAAGATTATAATCTTTGATTTAAAAATGTAATTTTCTATCTAATTTTCTTTTCCACTCAAGAAAATTAAATCTTAAATCATAAGAATATATTTCTTTTGATTGAACTATATAAAATGGCTTCATTCAAGTAAGCGATTATTCAAGCAATTATATTTTTCTTTAATTTACGCAATATAATCTCATTTCAAGATTTCCATGTTAAAACTAAATATCTTTTCAAAACAAGAATGTTCTTTTTTTCTGTGTACGAATCAATTTATAATTTTATTTTAATAAATTAAATTAGAAAACATTTTCTCAATTGATGAATATTGATAAAGGGGTTTTTTAAAATTTTTCATAAAAAAAGATTTTGACCGGTTTTTATATCTGAGAGGTATAGCATTTTTCCAACCCTGCTTTTTACACCTTATTAAGGATAGAATTGACATTTGATGTATTGCGCTTTTTCGTTCATATAATTTTAAAAATGCAAATGGCATTTAAGGATGTTTCTATTTTCAAAATATTGAGAGAGAATTTAATAAAAATTGTACAGAATGTCTTTACATATGTTTAGAATCTTCAGTACAATTTTTCAATCGATTCACTAAAGCGTTCACAAGTTATAAGGATTTTAATTTGCATCGAATTAACATGTGTTCTTATGGGAAACGTATAATCGCGTCGATTCAAATGACAAAAACACATGGAAATAATATTCAGAATTTGTTTAAAATTTACAAAAGTTTAGATACAGGTGAAATATTTGGTCAAATAATATTATACAAATACTAACTGGTTAAGAAGATATTAAATATAATTCAATGAAGTTAGCCATGTATCTGTCAAGGCGAAATTCTCTGCCAAAAGCAAATCATTTCGATTAACAAAATTCGGAATATTTCAGCAAAAACGCAATAAATATTAAAAAATACATCTCTAATATTGCACACAATTTCTTACTCCAAAAGTAGATATTCGTCAATATTAATTTTCGTCAATATTACTTTTTGCTAGGATCGTACAAAACATCCTTAAATAATGTCACCTGTATTTTGAAGCTGCAGTTGATAAACGAAATAGTTAATTGCATTCTCGCATTGAAAAAATGGTATCCTCAACATAAGAATATGTCACTTATCTTTAGTATATATTCTAAAGATAAGTGGCATATTCTTAAGTCGAGAAAACCATTTTTTCAGTGCGGGTGTAAAATTGCACATTTTTACAATTCCAAGTCGCGGGGTCGTCCGGACGTTCCTGGCTTTCTCTCAATCGGGCGAAAATAACATCCTCCCGACCTGGAGGAGGAGGAGGAAAGAACATACGTGAGACGGCGAGACTTCCGCGCTCGTATATAACCCCTGCCGATCCGTGACCTGCCTTACTGCCTCCTTCAACGTGTAGCTATTCTCCTCGGCGTCGCACGTTTCTCACCCTCCGTCTTGCACTCTCCATCTCCCCACCCTCTCTCGCTTTTCTCCCTCCTCTCTTCATCGAACCGGGTTCCTTCGCAGGAGTGAGCAAGCAGGATCGTGATCGGGGAGCCGACCGATGGGTCGCCGAGGGAGCGGGCGAGGAGGTTTCAGATACGACGGAGGTGAGGTGGTGGGGTGTGAGGCCCGTTTCTTGGATCTCTCTTTCTCTCCCCGTCCCTCTCTCTCTCTCCCCCCGCGACCGGGGGAGAGAGCCAACCGGGTGGGCGGCAGTTGTCCAGGCGTCGGCAGTCTGCGTTTCGAGGCGACGTGGCTTGCACGCGGAGCGACACGCCGCGTCCTCTCCGATTCTCAGTGCGCTCTCCTCTCTGTCTGTCTGTCCTCTCGCCCTCTCTCTCTGTTCCGCGATCTGCCTCCTCTCTCTCTGCGTTCCTCTCGTCGCTGCCGCCTCCGTCCTTGCGCCTCTGACTCTCCGCCTCTCTCTCTTCTTTCTTATCCGTCCTCTTCTGATAGCGCGGTCCCTCCTTGTCGCTCCAGCACCTGGCTCGCGACTCTCCGCTCCGGATACTCGGCGACCAAGTCGCCGCTGTCGCCGTTTTCCTCGCGAGGCAATATATATATATATATATATATATATATATATATGTATATACATGTAGACATACGTGTGTACGTTGTTGGCGACAGAGGAATTCGCAGTGCCACGTTTCGGAGCAGCGCCCGGTCGTCGCGCGTGTGTCCAGGAGTAGTGAACTGTGCTCTCGCGCCGGAGGACAGCCTCGTTTCCTCGGCCCGGTGCTGCTGGTTCGCGGGTGTCAGTGACATTATTCTAGTCTAATAGGTATACGCGGGCTTGCGGAGCCACGACGGGATCCTCGCGACACCGTTTCTCGCGGGATCCGCGAATGTCACGATGTTTTTATCGCGCCAAACATGACGTTCGGTCGTTCGCGAGCTACCCGAGGCGCGAGGATTCCGATCGTAATCGACGAATATCGATGGATGTTTACGAAGAGAGCTCGCGAAACTGATGACTCGCGACTACGAGAGTCTTTCAAAATTAATTCCGGGGAGATTAAGCGTGAGAGATGTTATTTATTCGTGATATTGGTGAAGGCGCTGATGCAATTCTCGTGTGATGAAATTGAAATTTGCCGAGATATTAGACCTTCGATCGATTTTAATCTCCAATTTATCTATCGATACTTGGCGAGGTACACGCTGTGCTATCGAAATATTTATCCGAAGCATCCTGAACAACGGCCAGGCGTCTGTTTGAGTCATACGCCTCGTAATCGCGGCAGTTCCAACACTCTCTTCCCTCCTTTTCTCTCTTTTTCTCTCTCTCTTGCGCGATCGATATGTTGATATTAATGGGTGCTACACCCTTTCTTTCTCTCCTATTCGCGTCCTTTTCGCTCGTTTATCATTATCGCTCGCGCGTGTTCGATGTATCTGTGTTATCGGTATCGAATATTTCATTGACATCCAAGTCGTGATGTAGATTTTTCATTTTTGCATTTTTGTGTACATTTTATACGTGATGCCTTACATTTATTTTTTTTTAGGTGAGGGATTTTTTTTTAAATTTGCAACGCACACTAGAATTCTATATCTGACAATTTTAAATTTATTACACTTTATTTTTGTGGAAATTTTATTCACAAAAATTTGTCAAGTTTTATTTAGGCATGATTTAAAAAATCCCGATTCTACAAGTTTGCCAGGAAACTTAATAACGTTTTAAATGTGTAGGTGCACAGATATATAATTCTGCTAAATTACTACTGGAGAATCGAAATTATTACTCAATAATCATCGTCATATGATATATCGTCGACTATCAGTTGAGCGCTGCATGTTTATCTGTTATTATCGATATCGCGTAAGCCGGATAAATACGATACCGCACAAAGTAAAAAAACACAGGTAATTTGCCTAGTCTGCTTAATGATGATGCAAATACGGTGCTCGTAGATAACACGAGGAGAATACTTATTGTTAGTCATCGGCAAAAACATTTGCTATTATTTTGTTTTAGTTCAAGAGATTTTCGTCGAGTCGCATTGTTTTAGAGCTTTCAACCGACGACAAATCATTGTATCGAAAATAGATAGCGCGTGACAGAAGAAAGTGGTTTTTATCGAGCACCGATTATGTAATAGATACCGAGAGTGAGGAGCAACAAGTCAAGTCGCACGGCAAAACTGGTCGAGACGCAGATATAACGTGCGTTTACTCACGCACACGCGTCGTCACGACTTCTTAATTTGGTTAGATCGCGAAACTTTTACTCGAATTGGCGCTGCTCGGGTCATTAATTGTCGTTAATTTACGCGAAAAATTTACTCGAAGTATATGAATAAAATCTGGATTTTTCTCGCGCGATTCTTATTAAGTTATTGCTCGACGGAGTGTCTACTTCCTGAGAAAATATTAAAAAACTTGGAATTCTTATTTTTGTACTTGGAAAAAAATCAAGGAATTTTATTGAGACTTTGGGAATTTTTGAAAGATCTCCTCTGATAATTTTTTTGCTCGTATATTGCAATCAGCTGATAAGCCAAATTTTGTGAATTATGTATATTTCTGTTTATATATTTCCAAAGTCTTAATAAAATATTGAATATGCAAAACATATTCTTTATTTTAATTGTTAATGATAAAAATAAAAATGTTATGAAAGTTAAAAATTTTTATCTTGACAAAAACTCTTCAGATTTTTTTCAGTACATTTGATAAATCGCGCTTGAAACTTAAGTAGCTTTATACTTTTTTTGTATGAATAAAGAGTATTAAAAAAAGCGTACAATAAAAAAATTTGTTTTAAGTAATTTCATAAAAAAATCTTAAAATATTTTTAAATTCTTTTACAAGACTTGAATAGACACTCTGCTTGAGGCACTTGATATGATAAAAAAGTAATTAATAAAGTTTACAACATACATAATACAACAACTAAGGATATAAATTATTTGTTTCATATTTAACGGTAAAAAAAAGCTAATACAATTGATTAGTAACTTATTTTTTGCACGAATATTTAAGAGAAATGATTAATTAATTTATTTTGACGTTCCTTTACATAAGATTACAGTCGTTTTCTGTAGATTTGTTCGTATCTTAACACACACATATGGCACAAAACCATATAAGGGAATCGTTTGCAATTATCAGTATTATTCATTTTTTTTGTAATGGAATTACTCATCGCTAAACCGCATTCTCTTTCGTCGGTATTTTGAGCGATTCGCTTTTCCTTTCTACTTGTTATTCTACCTGCAACCAAATCACTTTTTCATCGCGCCACGACGCTTTCAGTCGAATGCAAATTACCGTAAATGACTCTCGTGAGCGATTGTGTTCGACGAGATGAAATCATTCTCGGTTGTTTTCTCGGCTCCCCTTTGCCATGTGAACGTGAACTCATCGTCCCCTCGTATAAACGATATTCCAGTGAAGAACAGCATCGCTGAAAGACGATTCGCAGCATCTGGACTGCTAAATGTCCTTGTACGGTTAATTTACCGAGACGAATTCGCGCGATCGAAATCACTGGTAAACATTTCGAGAGGTGCGACTCGATTGTGGGCGGACTCGTCTAAGCAAATATACGTGTGGGATCTGTGCTCCGTTTTGGGCCGAATAATATGTATCCTCGAACCGGTCCCTTTCTCTCGAAACTAAATTCGGCCGAGTCTAAACGAGTTTTCCATTCTTGGTAGCGGCAGCAGGTAGAATTCACTTTTCATTATGAGATAAGAATCTCGTCAGTTTTGGCAGCGAAAGCGAGTCTAAGGAATCTCACCGACAAGTCGAGAGTTAGATGCAAAAATATGGGTTAAGAATAAAGTTTTCTTATATTTAAAAAAAATGATATTAATTTAAATATGTAAATATAAATATTAATTTCGATTAAAAGCAATATATTTTTTATCAACAAGATACTATTCTTTCATTTTCTTGATACACTTGGTACTCTAAAAACAAAAAAAAGTTAAGGATGTTTTGTACCTATTTTTAAAATATTGAGAATTTAATGAAAATTGTACAGAATGTCTTTACATATGTTTAGAATCTTCAGTACAATTTTTAAATCAATTCACTAAAGCGTTCACAAGTTATAAGGATTTTAATTTGCTCCGAACATGTGTTCTTATGGGAAACGTATAACCACGTCGATTCAAATGAAAAAAAACACATGGAAATAATATTCCGAATTTGTTTAAAATTTGCAAATGTTTAGATACAGAGAAAATATTTGGTCAAATAATATTATACAAGTACTAACTGGTTCAGAAGATATTAAATATAATTCAATGAAGTTAGCCATGTATCTGTCACAAGGCGAAATTCTCTGCCAAAAGTGAATCATTTCGATTAACAAAATTCGGAATATTTCAGTAAAAACGCAATAAATATTAAAAAATACATCTCTAATATTGCACACAATTTCTTACTCAAAATACACCAAAAGTAGATATTCGTCAATATTAATTTTCGTCAATATTACTTTTTGCTGGGATCGTACAAAACATCCTTACACAGAAAAAAATTTAATTGCTTGAATAATTGCTTACTTGAATGAAGCCATTTTATATAGTTCAATCGAGAAAAATATATTCTCATGATTTAAGATTTAATTTTCTTGAATGAAAAGAAAACAATGTCAGGTAGAAAATAACATTTTTAATCAAAGATTTATTTTCTTAGAATAGAATTAAATAATTATATATTCTTGAGGTGACAATTACAATATTAAAATAAGACGATAGTATTGTTGAAATTTAAAATTATTAAATTCTTCTAAGAAGATTAGTAATTGTTGCGTATATACGAAACAATGAACGCGTTAGTTTAATAGTATAAATTTTGATTTGACACTTCTTTTTTTTCTGTGTAAGAATAGAATTTTTTTACACTGAAAAAAATGTCTGGAAATGTGTAAAGAAAAATATTAATTTTGATTAAGGGCAATATATTTTCAATCAATATTATACTATCCGTTCTTTCATATTTTACAGTCACCTTTTCTTTGTACACTTGTCTACTGGTAGCTCGGGGTAGGAATAAACGTGATTCCGTCTCCCCATGCTGCTTTACGTTGGCGGCGATTGCATTGTAATCGAACAAGGTGCATGTTCGACTCATATCGACGTAAATTACGCCTCCGCGGGCTCCGCGGAAACTCGCAACCTGCTCTTGGTAAGAGCTCGTGACATCCGTGCGAACACTTCGGTATCGTTATCTCGCGTTAACCCACGTAGCTCGCGGCTCGCACGGCCTTTTAAGGGCCGATCGAAGGTCTTCCCTACACTGTTCCACATTCTTCTCATTAGAGACTATTTCTAAATCGAACTGACAATTGGAGTGAAATCGGTCCCCCTTGATTTATGACGGTAATGAAACTTTATTCGCGTTTCATCGTAAAAATCATCAGGAAGCGACGTGGTTATTCTCCGACACTCTTCCGCCTACCTGGCTTTAAAATCGATCCTCGATTTCTCATTACCTTAATCGTCCTCGTTTACGAGTGTGTGAAGTTGGCACCTCTATTTTTTAGTTTTTAGTTGAAAAAAACATACTTTGAATATCAGTGATATTTTGGAAATCGCGAGTTCTGATTGTAAACGTTAAAGTTCTAAATTATATTCCTTAAGCCAAATATTTTCGCGCAAATCGCATGCCTCTAGCTATTATAGTTTCCGAAATATCGATTTTTTTAAATTAACTAACTTTTATGAAAAATTTGAAAAATCACGAAATCATTCTTTTTCATAAAAATCGATTTTTCATAAAAGTTAATTAATTTTAAAAAATCGATATCTCGGAAACTATAGGAACATGCGGTTTGCGCGAGAATACTTGTCTTATCGAATGCTCAGAACTCTAACATTTGTGGCCAGAACTCGTGATTTTTCAAATTTTTCATAAAAGATACTTATAATTATTAATTTTAAAAAATCGATATTTCGGAAATTCATTATCATAACGGACAGAACTATTTTTAAAAGTGATCGAGAACTCTCTCTTTTGTTCTAAATAATTCAGAACTCTTAACAGAACTATTGTATCGTGACATAGGGATGCCAACTTCACACACCCCTCGTTTACGAGGCACGAGTAGCCAACGCCCTTTCGAGGTAGCCATAATCGAGCGTGCTACGAAAAATACCCGGGATTGTTGCGATCACATGTGAGGGGAAAATGCGCGATACGAGAGATGTCAAAGTCTCACGATAGACTACGCGCTTTTTGTAATCGACGCGAGACGCGCGCGACTCGATTAACCGCGACGGGCCTCGGAGAGGAGGTCCCCTTCAAGGTTGATCGCGGGAGCCCACCTCGCAGGACCCCGAGAGTAGTGGGCCGAGATCGACTATGGACCCGTTATGCGACTTGGCGCAAGAATGCCGCCGAGCCGGCCTCTGTAGAACCCGCGCGTGCCTTTTCCTCTCTTTCGCCGGCCTCCTACTTGCGCTCGCAAGGATGTTCGCGGATCCTTCCCTCCGGAGGATTTCGATGAAGCCGAAAATTAATTCGGAAAAGTCCAACGAGTAGGAAAAATTATAAGTCTCGGACTTTTGATAGAATAAACTAGCAAAAATTATAAAATTGATAAAAGTATTATATAACACTGAAGCACATTTATATAATTATGCAACACGAATTTTATTTTGATTAACAAACAATCGTATTAATTACTACAGTTTAAAAATAGGAATAGTCTTTTTTAATTTAAATTGATATGAAATGCACTTTTAAAATAAAATTTCTGGTTTTTTTAATAAGAAAAATGTAACATAATTAAAAAAATTTTTATCAATATATAATACACCTGATTTTTTTGCGTTTATCATTCAATGTCTTGTAATAAAATTAATTTATTTGCTAATCGATTTCTAATTTATTTTGGGTAACTTAAATTAGAAATTACATTTTCAATTTTTTTATTGATGAATAAAATCAATAAAAAAATTTTCTATTTAGTTTAATTTAATTTTTAATAGAAAAGACTAGTCCTTGTCGATTTTTCCTGGAAAATATCGGAAATATTTTCCGAAATATGAGGAATTTTGCCAGAAAATCATTTCTAATACATCTTGTGATATTTAATCGCGAAGCTGTTAATGTCACAATTTATTTGCAAAGAATCGAACATGCGAAGAGAGAAAGAGAGAGAAAGAAAGAGATGTTATCTCTCTAGTTATTCCAATATTCCTTTGCAATGTCGTTGCGGTTTTGCTCCGTCATTTAACGGGTTCGTTGTTCGTTCCTCGTTAATATCCCGCGGTTATATTTACACTATGCACGCGACGTAAGATACATCGGAGATATTAATGTGCGCCCCTTTAAGTAGAGATCAAATAAACAGATCCAAATACAATCACGAAGTGAGTACCGACAAATGTCAGTAATAGAAGCATTATTTAATTAATAATTTTATAAAAATATTTCTATACAGAATTTTATATAATTTTTTTTGTATTTCTTTATATAAAAATACAAAAAAAATATATAAAATTCTGTATAAAAATATTTTTGTATAAAATTCTATATAAAAGAATTTTATATAGAATTTTATACAGAATTTTATATAAAAAAATCTAAAACAAATTAAAAAATTAATAATTAATAAATAAAAAATTACAAAAATATTATTAACTGACATTCATTCATTTGTGATCGTTCGTGTTGGTTCTGCTGCATTCGACTTTGAACCGGAATTTTTCGCGTACGATGCAGTGATGGTGCTTCTTATATTAACGGATTTTTTTACGGCCTTTATGCATCCGCGTTTTCGGCATACCTTTTATACGCTCGCGATGTATGACGCGCGTTCTGCAAGCAGGCTATGCTCATATAAGGCACACGAGGATGCGAGAGAGCGACGTTTTCTCAGAACGCATGATTCAGCACCCAGCGACATTAAGAGCCGTCGTCGTTGCTGGTACGGCCATTCGGCGTTTAATGAATTAACAAGGGCTCGTCCATTAGGCGTGTCTCCCAACGCGTACGGGATCAATTAAAGTCCATGGGTCAACGAGCGGCGAAAGATGCATTCTCCTCGCTTCGAGGCTTTAAGTTTAAATTGAATTCGGAACACGAAGAGTACCGTTAGGTATTAAGGTGTCTATTCCCGGGAAAAGCGTGGAAAAGCCTGGAATTCTCAGGGATTTCTCTTGTACTTCGGAAAGTACGGAATCAGAGAATTCTCATGGAATTTTATTGGGACTCGGGGAATTTAAAAAATAATTCTTTTTTTCATAATTTTTTTGCTTTTATATTGTAAGTAGTTGGCAGTCTACTGATGAGCCAAGTTGTAAATTGTCTTTAAAATATATTATAAATATATATCTGGCTCTATAATAAATATTATATATTCAATGACTTACGTAAAATATTGAATATATATTTATAATTTTTAATAATAGAAAAGTAAAAATGTTTTGCAAATGAAAAGTGTGTGTTTATCTCATGAGAGATGTCTCATGTCAAAATTTTACCTTAGTCGCATCAAAGTTGCATCAAAAAATTTTCAAGATGTTTTCTTTATTTAAAATTTTAAACAAAAATGCCTGGATCAAAGAATCTTTTAACAAGATCCGAATAGATACCTTGATTAGATTTTCCGAATATTTTCTTATTAAAAATTTTGACTAAAAATACCTGGATCGAGGAATTTTTTTATGATCCAAATAGACACTCGGTTAGACTTCAAATTCAGAAATGAAGAAATGAACTCAAGTTTCACATTTGCAAAAATGATAAATGATGAATAATTGCTTTCGCCTCGAGTTTCCAAAGACTCGTTTGCCTAAAGATGCTTCCTTACGCTCGTTATTTAACGATATCGATGATTTTTTGGCGGAGTCGGTATTTCGGTGCGACGACCACGTGTCGAAAGAATGGTCTCATCTAAGCGCGTGGCGTCGCTCTGTTTTCTTTCCGTTTCTAATTTCGTGCAAGGGACAAGAGCAAGACACGACCGGCTCTCCTGCTCGTGCGTATATATACGTGGGTTCGATTGCACGAGTGCGGCGACATGCATCCACGACTGCAGCGCGAGTGCAGTGATCGACCGACCGTCGTGCCGATCTTTCGCATCGTTATCGCGACGATGCACCACTCGTATTTCGCGTGCCCGTTTTTCTATTAATTTTTCTTTTAATTCTCTGTTCTCTCGTTTTTTTCCTTGACATTTTTTCCTCGCGGGAAAAGAGAGAGCGTAAAGATGGCGACGTGTCTATTACCGAACGGTGGTCGAGCGCGTCTAGTCAGCCTTCGCGAAGCCGGCGAATTGGTCCATGACGACCCTTTCTGACACGCAACGACCACGACGCGGGGCACCCACGTACCCGTTCGCCGTTTACCATATGCGGAGAGTTCGATCTCGCGGTTAGGCGCGCTTCCATCGTCCTCTTAAGCCAGCCGATGCCAGGCGTGTGCGTCGGCGCTCAGTCTCCACGCGCCTCGCGAAACGTCAGTTCGTAAGGTTCGTCCGATCCGACCGTTCGATTTCGCCTTCCGTTCGATCCCGCGAGTTGCGACCGGTAGGTTTCTAGGTTCGGTGTCGGCATTTTTAGTGCTAACGAGTCGAAAAAAAAAAAACAATATCGTATCCAATAAAAGTCGAGCATTTAAATCGGGAATGATTGGCGAGGAAGATTGATGATTTTTAGAATTTTTTTGAAAGAATATTGAATCTTTTTGATATCTGACATATTTTTATTGATGTTTATAAAATAATAATATGTCAATATTTTTAAATTTCTTGGATATATTTTTTTTAATATTAAATCTCTGCGCATAGCGTGTTCAGAAATGCATAATTAGATGATGTAACATGCTACTTCTCGTATAATTCTAATTTCATTAGAGCAAATTGCAAAATAACAAAGTAGCAGTGTTGTGTCGTTTTAAAATTAAATATTTGAATTTTGTTAAATCTTTTTCATTTCTTCAAAGTCAAAAATATTAAATGTTAATCTTTTTAATTTTCAATTAGTATCGTCATTTTTGAACTTGCTACAAAAAAATTAAATATCCAAGTTTTAAAACTACTGACATATTATTTAAATATCAATAAAAATAAATGTTGTAAAAAATTCCTAAGAATTATCAATTATTTTTCAGACTGCTAAAGTAGATTAGGCTCTTAAACAATACACATTTTTCTCGCTTTTTTTCGCCAAATCTGTCATTCTTATAAATTCTGATTTATTCCTTGGATCTTATATAAAACTATGCAATTATAATTTGCTATTAAAATCCGAGTGAATAAATGAGATGGTATGAAATGAATCACAAATTAATCATACTTAATCGCGTTACGTTTTGCCGCCATTGTTGCGGTTAGTGGTTTGATTCCTATTTTGGTCTTTAACTTAATATGCTGGATCGATTACAAATTTGATGGACGCGCGTAGAATCATAATGGTACCTAATAGTCGGGTGTAACCATGATCGACTTTCCAAGTTTCTTAAGCGTGCATCAAGGCCGTTGAATTCTAATCTAACACGAATATATCGATTAATCATCCCTTCCACTCCTACGTCGCCCCATTTCTCTTTGTTTCCGTTGCCTTTCGACAGTTTCCTGCATTTTTTTCGCGACGATTCGACTGGAAAAAAGATTTAAAAATCATAAAAAGATCGTAAAAAGATTTTTTAATGATTTTTTAAAAATTGTCGACCTCTCTTCGTAAAGTCATTTATCAAACTTCTCTCAACTGAACGTCTCATTCGCATATTGTGCATTGTCGTTGCACAGGTTTTCCATCTTCGTGTTGTCGCTGACAAGAGTGCACGAGGAGCGACGAGTCGGGAGTTTTTTTCGAGAATTCACAAAGTGCCATACCGTATACGAGGTCGGGGAGGAATAAAGGCGACGTTCGGATTTGCATGCGCGGCGCGGCAGGTTGGAATCCGAAGGTAAGAGAATCCTTGGCCGATTCTCCGAACGATCGACGGGGGACGGCTCGAGAATTCGATCGCGTTCCGATCGAACCTGGCGCACATCTCGTGTAAACAGCGGCGGATAATCGACGAAACTCATGCGTCGAGCATTCTAAATGCTCCGAGTAGAAACGTGAAACTATTCCACGAACGATCGACCCGAAGACTAAGGACTAGAAGCTCCTCTGACTCGAGGGTCTCGAGAGAGGGAGGGAGCACGATTAACTCGCGAGGATGTAAAGAAGGAAAACAAATCGAGCCTAAACAGTCCTAAAGTGCGATTTTTCATGAACGGATAAAGTCTCGAGCGAGTGATCGACCCAGGAGAGCAGAGTGCTCCGATTCGTGCCGTGAATGTGTCATGACAGTTCGCGCGGCCGGGCATGAACGTTGAAACCTGCACCCTCTACTTCGCTGGGACGGCCCGGGGCCCGGAGAAGGACAGGATGTCGACCCAGGCGTACTACAAGGAACGGCTCGGCTTCGATCCCGCCGACACCGTCGCCGAGCATCAGCGGGAGCAGCGCTCCCAGCACGGTTACGAGGAGTCGCTCTCCAAGTTCAAAGGTCAGAATGCGAACGGGTTCCCGGAGGAAAGTCCGGGATGCGATGGCGTGGTCGGGGAACACCGTGCCGGCAACACCCAGGCTTTCTGGGGCTGCTGGGCGATGTTCATCGAGGCGCATGGTAGGTGGAAAGAGGAGGCGATCAGCTGGCATGCGGATGCTGAAGGATTTTTCCTTGTGAGAAGCTCGCCCCGTTTTCCCCGGATTAATTTTCTCCCCTTTTTTTGTGTGCGTCAGAATTTTTACTTTTATTTTATCATTTATGCAGTTTGTAGCTTTCTTCTACTTTGAGGCATATTGAGAAAAATCGTTTGATTGTATCGACAAGACGTATACACAGAGAAAAATGTATACTGTATTCAAGTAAATATTTATTTTTCAAGTATATCATAAATTGGTACATCCGCAAATGTATCACAAGTTTACTACAAGCATTAAATTTCATTGAATATATTCTGAATTTTAGTAAGTGCAGTATTTTAGTCAAGAATATTAAATTAAAACAAAAATTTGGTTTGCTTACTACAAGAGTTGACGTAAAGTAAGTTTGATTTTTCTTCGATACGACTTTACAATATTTTTGAAGAAAATAAATTCTTCTTTTGAGTACATGATAATGAGATTTTTTAACACTCGTGATGAGTATATTTTAAGACTATTATCAAGAATATATTCTTTGTTGAAGAAAACTATTACTTAAAAAAAGAAAAATAAACGGAATAATCGCTTTTCTTGGCAGAATGATATTTTTCTCTGTGTATGATTGAAGGCCTTTTGGTTAAATCAAACAGGAATTTCTTATCATGATAAGACTCGATTTTTTATAACTAGAACGTTTAATAGATTTTATAGGATTTGGTTAGTATCATCTGGTTGGTTCTATAAAATTTCTTGTTGCATTAATTTCTTTGCTTGCTGCTGGGCGGTGAACCACTCTTAACTTGACTCGTATTCAATATTTGCCATAAAATGTATATAAAGAACTAGTATTAACATTAAATCCAAAGTATATATTTTTTCTCTTACGAGCAGTAGTGCCAAAAAGTTGACGCTAGCTCTCTGATTGTGTGTTTGAGCTGCATCCTCTTCTTGCATCACTGTTTATCAGTTTAATTACAGTATTAATTTCTAACAAACTGAATTTAAAATAATTTATTCAATAATCTGGATTTATCCAATAATCTTGTTGGAATTCAAAATATTAAACAGACTTTTGAGATTAGATGCAAAAAATTTAAGACGACTTGGTGCTGGCGAATTTAATATTATTAAGCAGAAGATTTGATAAATTTAACAGGAAGAAATTAATCAGATTCATCTGGTAATTCCTACAAGAATTCTGATTCGTCCATTTTCCAACAGACATACTGGTTGAATCTATGAGAATTCTAATTAATGCAACCAGATTTTTTCTCAGTGCAAGAAAGTACTTTGCTATCTGAATTGTCCTTGATTATTAATAGCTATTTTTATATAAATCCGCTAGAGATGATTTATCCTTTTTTCGTGTGAAATAAATGTCTTCGGGAGCTATTCATTGGAAATTTTATTCCAAGCATGCGGTTGTCCTTCACGACATGCTAATTTCAACATTCTTGCCCGGTTTAAGAACGGGAATATTTAGAAATTACTTGAAATTATAAAGGACTTGTACGATTTATTGCGACATTGAAATTAATATTTATGATACAAAATATATTAAAAAAATAATACTATACAATATTGATGATGATGCAAATCAAATTCTTATAAATAGTGTAGTATTTTTCTCTTGAAATGATATATTACGAGTTGTTTGTAACGTTTTAGGAGAATTAATTATAAAGTTTAATTACGAATTATTGCGGTGTTTTAACATACAAATATTTTTTCAACTGTACTAAACGTCTCTGAATGTGTTACTGTGTTGTTTGCAGTTTGCAGATTGCAAATTTACTCACACGGCGTTTTATTAACTTTGCGATAAATTGATCCATTGACACTTATAACACGCGAGAGGCGCCGAAAGATCCAAGCCGAGTCGCGCTTTTTCGGGACGTTTGTTTGATAAATGTTTGAGTTACGAGTGTCGCTTTCCTCACCTTGCCTTTTCAGCAGCCGGATATACATAGATTTTAAGAGAGGTGCAGAGAGAGATAGACGGGATATCTCGAAACTGTCACTGTATACATAACTTAATAAGTGGACAGATAACGAGAGACGGCGATCCTCTTTTATCGCCTAAATACCTGACCGGTACCTTTTTATCGTCTCTCTCCACACAGAGAAAAATGTATACTGTATTCAAGGAAATATTATTTATTTTAAGTTTATCATTAGTTTGTATATCCGCAAATATATCATGAGTTCATCACAAGCATTAAATTTCATTGAATATATTCTGAATTTTAGTAAGTGCAGTATTTTAGTCAAGAATATTAAATTAAAACAAAAATTTGGTTTGCTTCCTACAAGAGTTGACGTAAAGTAAGTTTGACTTTTCTTTGATACGACTTTACAATATTCTTGAAGAGAAAATAAATTCTTCTTTTGAGTACATGATAGTGAGATTTTCTAACACTTGTGATGAGTATATTTGAAGACTATTATCAAGAATATATTCTTTGTTGAAGAAAACTATTACTTAAAAAAAAAAGAAAAAAAAACGGAGTAATCGCTTTTCTTGGCAGTATGAATGATATTTTTCTCTGTGCATCCAACACTGAAAGAATTTTCGGAATCCCAAGTGTCATTCGTGAAGTAGCCGGATCCTATGGTGTTTCTAGCGCAGCCCACTTGACGGTGCCAGGTGGACAAACAATAAACAATGGCCGTCGCTTTTCATAATCTCTGCCCACTCGCAGATTGCGTATCCGAACACGCCCAACATTGCTTTTCACTTAGCGCGAAAGTAAATGGCCGGAAGGCTCGTACGCGAGTGACGTCAGCGCCGTTACATCGGGAGATTGATCGCTAATTTATCGTAATTACCCTCGGCATCTCGTATCCGGTCGAGAGTGAATTCGTTTCGTGACGTCGACGCGTCGTTATCGCAGTCGCTCGCTTCTCGGCCTCTCCTTTTGACGGAGATTTGCCGGCGATGCGAAGGACGTATTATGAAATCGAGGGACTCTCATCCGAGCGGGGCAATTAATAACGGAAGCGTAAAATGCACGCTGCTCGCGTATATTACGTTGATGTACGAACCAAAGATACGTCAAGATATCATGGCATTTTGCACGAGACGGCTCTCTTTTATAGTTTCTTTCAAAGGTATCTTCCAACGAGATGTACGCTTGATGAGTATTTGCGTGTACAATAAATGGAATGATGTATGAATTCTCTCTCTCTTGGATAACAAAGCACGGTTAAAAGATTAATAGTGCGATAAATAAAATTAATTTGGGAACATTCATAAATTAATTAAAATTCAGTGCTCCAATTTGTCGTCCAATTAAAAATTTTAATTAAAAGGTAAACATTAATTTTACAAATTTTTTTTTCTTATTAAAGCTAATTTTGATTATACATGTATAATAAAATTTTTTATTTAAATATGTCTGAATAATCTCGTTATTCTTGAGGATCATCGAATATTTGATAAAAGCGGAGCTTTAATTTTTCGTTAATTTTTTTTTATTAAACGATAAAAATTGATTTTATAAAAATTTTTTTTTCTTATTAAAGCTAATTTTGATTATATATGTATAATAAAACTTTTCAAAAATTTCCGAATAATCTTGGGATGCATCGAATATTTGCTGAAAACACAAGCCTTTAATCTCTCGTTAAAAGTTCTTTTAATTAAGAGATAAAAATTATAATTAAATTTTTCGTGCAAATATTTCTGAATGATCTCTGGGATTACTCTGGGATTCATGAAATATTTGATAAAACTATACAATATTATCTTATGTTGGCCTAAAAGCCGAAAGGGTATCGCGTAAATTGGTGTCAAGAATTTTCGAAAAGAATAAACACTGATGAATACGTTCATTGACGTTTATCTTTAGTCCCTGTAACGTCAGTTACCGTTATCAGAGCTTCCACATTCCAGCATCCGTATCCGCTAACAAGGACTTTACTGAAGAAAGCATTAGCGCATTTCTTCGGGATTAGTTCATGGCTCTCTTTCTGCCGATGCGCTTACGTCTTTTTGCATAAGATAACTAAAAGATGTAAAATAAATACATTAAATGTATTTATTTTTATTGCCAAAGAATCTATTAAAAATATATGTTATTAAAATTATTAATTATATGATTTAAATATGAATATAATCAAGAATTATTAATGATATCTCTATAAATCATATGGAGAATTTAATGAATTTGAATACTTCATTTTTTTATCTATTAATATAATTTTAATTTTAATTGAAAAACATAATTTAATCTTGCGTCGTAATTTTTCGTCAATCACAATTCTTAGATTTGATCGTTAAATCTGTGACTGTCCGTCTTGGCATAAATTGGCGAAAACAGCTGTTAGAACCGTGATCGATTAATGACTGACAATTTGACGCAAAGCTATCTCCGTTCTAGTTACAGCATTGAGAGAATTGGATTCTCTGAAATTACGTTAGCTCCTCGTGATCGGTACTAGGTCATTGCGGCATGTGATAAAGATCGAAAGCCATTCTCGGCAAATTTAGAGGGAGAGAGAGAGATTCTAACTCTGTCAGTAACGTTCAGACGTCAAGATATCAACGTTGAATTGACCGTAACTTTGTTTACTCCCATTAACGTCAATACTGATTACGCTGGAATTTCTTCCAGCGAGACATAACAGATTAGATCGTCTCTCAATCAATGCTCTCTTTAACTATGTCAATTAAGCTTAAAATGTTAGAAACATTATTGAAGTATATATATAACACGTCGAAAATAAATTCAATATCTTCGAAGTAACTTCGCTGATTATATAACACGTGAGAGAGACTTCATATTTTTTTATTTTTTCATTAGAGAAGAATTTTTAAATAAGGTGTCTTGCTTGATCGACATAATTTAATTTGAAAATATTTTATTAGGGCGAGAATATTAAAAATGTAGTATGATTAACAATTAACAGAGCATAACGTATGATCACGTGTTCCGCTTCCTTCTATTTAAAAGAATTGCGATTAAGTTTCTCTGCAGGTTTTAAATTCAAATTTCATGAGAGGAAAATAAAATCCCGATTTAAGATATCTTGTATGCTGTTAAACCTGCGTTATTCGATGCAGTGTTATTAACAAAGTGTGAAAACTGGGCCAAACTTGGACCCAGCAACGAGGTGAGATAATCTACGAAGAACAAATGCTCGGTTCGCAGATAATGGAATATGTGATTTAGCGCAAGTTAAGCCGGAAAGTTCGCTAAACCAGGCGTACGTGCGTGCATATAAGGCATTAATAAACTCTTTCCGTACTAAATAAAGTTGCCAGTACACACTTGTCACGCGAGATATCTGAATGCTTGCCATCCTGTCAGAAAAAAATGTGTTTGAAATCGAAGCTTCCTCCCAATAAGCTTATATAATGTGGCTAACATAAATCACTCAGGTGCACAGAAAAAATAAGTGCCAAATCAAAACTTGTGTACTTAAATTAACGCGTTCATTTTTTCATATATACAACAATTTATAATCTTAGAAGAATTTAATAATTTTAAATTTCGACAATATTATAATCTTATTTCAATAAATTGTCATCTGAAGAATATATAATTATTTAATTCTATTCTAAGAAAATAAATCTTTGATTAAAAATGTTATTTTCTACCTGACATTGTTTTTTTTTTCATTCAAGAAAATTAAATCTTAAATCATAGAATATATTTTTCTTGATTGAACTATATAAAATGGCTTCATTCAAGCAATTATATTTTTCTTTAATTAACACAATATATCTCATTTCAAAATTTCCATGTTAAAATTACAAATATTTTCAAAACAATATCTTTTTTTTCTATGTGCAAAATATATTTCACATATTTTGTTAAATATATTTCTCCCGGATGACGAATACGTTTTATTTCGCGTTAACGTTTCCTACCAAGCAGTCGTTCATTAAAATATTTGATGGCGATTCTCTCACAGCTACCTGACTTTATTTCCTTTTCATTCAAGAAAATTAAATCTTAAATCATAGAATATATAAATATATAAATATATATTTAATATATATATAATATAATATATATTTAATATAAATATATGAATATATATTTTTCTTGATTGAACTACATAAAATGGCTTCATTCAAGCAATTATATTTTTCTTTAATTAACACAATCTATCTCATTTCAAAATTTCCATGTTAAAATTAAAAGTATTTTCAAAACAATATCTTTTTTTTCTATGTGCAAAATATATTTCACATATTTTGTTAAATATATTTCTCTCGGATGACGAATACGTGTTATTTCGCAGTAACGTTTCCTACCAAGCAGTCGTTCATTAAAATATTTCATGGCGATTCTCTCACAGCGAGAGCGACAGGCGCTCGGAAAATGTGATCGTTCGCAGAGCAGGCCACTCGAGATATTTCTAAATCCAAAAGTGTTTCTCTGAGAGAGTGTACCTCTCGTCTTACCTCTTATTTTGTATCGTCTGGCGGCATATTAGGCTGACACTTACGTCGGCTTGTCGACCGGGTTTAAACATACCCGGTCGATGATACCGTCGCTCGAGTGGCCTTAACTTTTCACGGGATACGGTGATGATGAAGTGTCGAGTGTACGCGCCATAAATCATAGCTAAATCGAATCACGACTCCGATAAATCTTCACGCGACTAATCCTAGCTCTCCTCAATTAATCGCTTAGATCGATGATTTATACGTTCATTTAATTTCAATTATATATATGTATATATATATATATATATATATATATATATATATATATAATTTCATGTAATACATACATGCCATTTTTCGTATTATAAAGATATAATAATAATCTGTGGTCTTTATTATAATTATGTAACGCATTCTCAATATTCTAGGATCAAAAATTAATGCCGCTGTGATTTATATGTTTCGACATCTCGAATCGATCAAATATATCGTGTCGTAATTGATTTCAACAATGTATGCATTGATTTATTATTCATTTTTTATTAGTTGTCGCGAATTCAAGAATGCAAATAGAATTGCACGAGATAACAAAAATAGCCTTGATATCGTTGTCCTGTCTCAAAATTTGACAAGATAAGACTTTTCGTTAATTCAGACATACCAAGACTAAAATTGCCACGATTAATAGTCTTGTTAAGAATATTGATTTTTAAAAACAGCTAAAGTATGTATTTTTGTAAATTAGATGAGACAAAAATTATATGTGCGAACTTAAAAATTTTATTTTATAAATAAAAACATTGGTAAATTTAGAAACAATTAATGCAATAAACAAAATGAACAATATAAAATTTTAACATATATTTATATATTCAGTTTTCTAAAAAATAACGAAATAATACAGACATAAATACTAATAATTATCTTAAATTATTATCTATAAATTACTATCATAAATATTGTATTAACTTTAAACAATTGTTCAATATTAGATAAAATCGAGACAAGACAATAGGAGATTTTTGCTGCAAAAAAGATTCACCCAAAATAAGATATAAGTTTTAAAAAAATTTTAAATATCAATACAATATTTTTGTCTTGTCTTCAGTCTTATGCAACTCTAATAACTTAAATTCGTTAGAAATTGAAGCCTTTCACATACGTGCTAGATTTGACGTTGACGTTGACGTTTAAATTTCAAATAAGAGACGTCACAAATAAAGACGACAAAACGAAAAATCTCCAATGATGATTTCGAAAGCAAACAATCGACCGACCCCCCATGACATTTAGTGCATCCGAATTTTCCTGAAAATCATGTACACCCTCGATGCAAAAAGTATAGATATAATCTTTAAGATTCTATCCCGGACTTTTAAAGAGCTCGTCTAAAGTAGGCTTCGCTTTTATTATCGTACGACCCATTGTCCGGATTTTTCTGCCTCGCATGCTAACCGATCGAGCAGCTTTGCCAAGCGGCCGACCTTCTGTCGGTTCGCTTGCCTACCAGTCTACCTGCTTGACCCTCATCTGACGTGACCCGATCTGGTTGCCTGCGACTTTGGTTTCGTTATATACTGACCTCGACCATCCTTAAAGGGTCCATTTCCAGATGCCATTGCATCATGTTCTCATGTTCTGTTGTCATGCTTGAGAACAAGACCTTAGACCTACGCGATAACAGTTATACTTATCAATTTGACGAAATCGGAGTTTCACTGTAATCTATATCGTAGCTGTTGACGACGAGCTGTTGATGAATACGTGACGTGCAAGTAAATATTATTATTAATATTATAATATAATTAATATTGTAATATTAATATTATAATATTAATATTATAATATTATTAATATTATAATTAATATTAAATATTATTAATAATATTAAATATTATTATTTATTTTAAGTATATCATAAGTTTGTATATCCGCAAATATATCACAAGTTTACCACAGGCATTAAATTTCATTGAATATATTCTGAATTTTAGTAAATGCAGTATTTTAGTCGAGAATATGAAATCAAAACAAAAATTTGGTTTACTTACTACAAGAGTTGACGTGAAGTAAGTTTGATTTTTCTTTGATACAACTTTACAATATTTTCGAAGAGAAAATAAATTCTTCTTTTGAGTACATGATAGTGAGATTTTCCAACACTTGTGATAAGTATATTTGAAGATTATTATCAAGAATATATTCCTTGTTGAAGAAAAACTATTACTTAAAAAAAGAAAAATAAATGGAGTAATCGCTTTTCTTGGTAGTAGAATGATATTTTTCTCTGTGTATGCATGATATTTATATAATACATGCATTCTACATTCGCAGTATAACATTTGAACAAGGCTGAGCTTGTGACATGATTGTACTAGCGATTATAGTGTGAATTAACATGAATCGTTGGTAATATTACAAGAGATATTATTTGTATTTATTATTATGAATAAAAGCGCAAATAAAATGCGTTGTATTATTGCCCAATATAATTGCTATTTTAACGCAAAATAGCCATTGAAGAGACCTCTCATTTTTCTAACAATTTTTTTGTGTGTTGCAGACGAACGAGATGCTATACAGAAGAAGACCTTCACGAAATGGGTGAACAAGCATTTGAAAAAGGTGAGACTGCTTTTGGATATTTATACTATTATTACTGCCGATATTTTGCGAGTAATTCACACAAATCTTTTCTCACGTCATCGTTTAATTAGCTTAATGACATTATCAGGTATATTTTGTTGAAGTAATATTATTAAATGGACGAGCCTAAAGAATGAATTATAGTCATTTCTAAAAAATGATATTTTGCATATCGTAAAAGCATTTTGATTCTAATAGTTTGTATAAATACTTTATTTCGATAAATGAAGGAAATTTAATTGAGTAGACTTTCAGTACAGAATTTAATCATTTTTTAGAATCCACAGTTGAAAGAAAAATACAATTTTAACACCCTGTATAGGTGCTAAAAACTTGAATTCCTGGCATATTACACGTCAGACTCATCTGTGGAAGGTGTGGCTTTCTTGGTCTTATCGTTATAAATTCACGTTTTTTTTTTCTTTTTCTTTACGTGGTCCTCGTCTTCGGTAAATAAATCTCAAATTTGTGCGTGCTGACGCATAATAGACTCGCTTCATCCATTTGCGTATTCTTTATCCTACAGCCTATAACTATGTGATGAAATTACTCGCGTAGGCGGATTGTCATTTCAAGTGATAAATCGTTCTCAGGAAAGGATTTACGATCTTATTAACTGTGACACAAGAGAGAATTTATTCCCGTTGAAATGATTTTTATTCAATCAGAAAAAAAAAGAGAAATTTGGACGTTGAATGGAAATAGCTGTGGAGGAACGATAATGAAAGAAAAAAAAATAAATTGTCGGGTTAACACGGCGTAAAACCAGTGAATGCGCTGTCAAATCGAAATGACAGTCTCGCGAAAGTGCCAAAGTCACCATTGAAAGTGGGAAAGGCGTCTTGAATGCGACAAAACGACGACGCGAGTCGTTTTGCGGTCCGATCGTGCCGTTTTGTTCCCGACTTTCGAAAGGATACGTCGCGCCTTTTCTTCGCATTCGTCGCCAAGAAGTACAAGTAGGCGTGCGCGCGCGAAAATAAGTAAACTCTCGATTGCGTAACGACGGTCCCGATATTGCGGCCCCCGTGTTGCGTATGTGGCACACACGTGGGTCGAAAGTACCTGGCCGCGAGAGGAGATACGACTATAGAAGGCAGCAAGGACCGTGCAAGACGAGCGGGCGATACACGATCGAGGAAAGTATCCGACAAATCGATGATTCGCACTCGTTCGGCCGAAATTTCGCCGGTCTATTCTACACAGAAAAGAAGGACGTTCTTATTTTGAAAATATATTTAACATAGAAATCTTTGAAATGAGATTATATCGCATTAATTTAAGAAAAATATATAATTGCTTGAATAATTGCTTACTTGAATGAAGCAATTTTATATAGTTCGATCGAGAAAAATATATCCTCATGATTTAAGATTTAATTTTCTCGAATGGAAAAGAAACAACGCTAGATAGAAGATAACATTTTTAATCAAAGATTTATTTGCTTAGAATAGAATTAAATAATTATATATTCTTGAGGTGACAATTACAATATTAAAATAAGACGATAATATTGTTGAAATTTAAAATTATTAAATTCTTCGAAGAAGATTAGAAATTGTTGCGTATATACGAAACAATGAACGCATTCGTATAAGTTAATGTTTGATTTGACACTTCTTTTTTTTCTGTGTAGGATTGATAACATTCTACATTTTTTGTGGATAAAATCACGATAAAAATGGTATTTCTGGAAGAAAAACATCAAAAACTGGTTTTTCTATTAAACATATTAACATAAGTAGAAAAATTTCTCTTATCGATTAATTCTCTTATTCGTCAAATGAGAGATTTCCTAATTTAAACTTTTTCCAAAATAAAGTTTATAATGGATTAGGAATTAACAAACTATATAAATTAATTTTTTTGTTAGAAGGAGAAAAATAAACGTGTGAATAAAATTGATAACAATTTTTAATTCCGTTACTATTACACACATTTTGCTTATTAAACTAAAAATTAATATAAAATTTGCTAACATTTATATTTTCAAAGTTTTTTTTTAATTTTACATATTTGAATTAAAAAAGATTTTGTTATTATATTAATTTCATTTTTTAAATTATAGTGATTAGTTAGTGATTTATTTTATCTAGGATTAATTGGTAATATCTGATAAGCAGGAAGGAAAGTAAATTCAGGTAGTAAATTCCGGTTTTTACTGACTGATTTCATCCAATAGAATAATTTGGCAAAAACTATAAAAGTGATTAATATATAACATTTAAATATATTTATGTAATTTTATACAAAAATGTTTTTTGCCTTAACAAATCATATTTATTACTAGTTGAAACTAGTTAAAAAATACAAAATCAATAAAATGATAGTCTTTTTTAATTCAAATTAATATATATGAAATATATTTTTAAAATAAAGACTTTTAAAAATATAAATATATACTACTAAATTTTACATAATAAAATCTTGCATTTAATGAGAAAAATGTAATGGTAACAGAAAGAACAATTTTTACCAAAATTTAATTCGCGTTTACCATACAACATTTTGTCAAATCTTGTCTAACAAAAAAATTAATTAATTTTCTTCGTTGCTTTTGAATTTATATCGGATTTTATTTACGGATTTTTGAATAAAGCTTAAATTAAAAAACACTTTCACTTGATGAATATCGGTAATATAATTTTCCACTTTCTTTAACAATTTTAATAAAAAAAGACCGGTTTTTTAGGGAAATACCGGTTCTTACTGACATGTATCTTATCTAAAAAATGTAGAATTCTATTAATCTTGTTCTACACATGACAAATATCATATATAAATACGGGTGAATTTCGCTTTCACATTTACGTTAAACAAGCTGTTGGCTTGATAAGGATTATATTTAATTGTAAGATTGATACAATCATTTTTCTCGACAAGAATCAGATACCGATCGCGCGGACGAGCTTTGATCTTCGCTATCTGATCGAATCTGCTGCGGACGCTGCATCGTACATCCGTGATAAGAGAACGCGGTCAAACGTTTCTCGATAAGGGTATGTCCGTCCTGCATATCTGTTGCGTTGCATTGCATATCTTCGAGAATGTCGAGCGTGAGGTGAGGTTGAGCGTGAATAACCGCGAGCTACAGCTGGACTTTTCGCCACAAGAAAGTACGTCGTGCACTCTTGACAGCTGATGCTTGACAGCTGATGCTTGACAGCTTATTAATAGCATTTGACAGCTATCGCAGTCGCGATTTTGCGCCGAATATTTGCATACCACGAACAATACCGAGAAACGTTAACAATAGCGTACTTTCATGTACTGACGAAGATAGAGAGAATTTATCCACTCGGAGCGATAATAAAATATGAAATACATTATGCATTTCTCGTAATTTTGCATCACGTCATCCGTGTTTGAATCATCGCTAAATGTAAAGTTCTTGTTATAAATATTTTTAAATCGATTGTTGCAGATACGATCGATAGGGATTTTTAGAATCATTAATTGCCGCCATTTTGCTGATAAGATTCAATAATATAGTGGGCACTTTATCGGATAAAATCTTGAGATAAGTTTTAAGAGAAATTATTAGTTTCGGCTCTCTTTTATGTATATGAAATAATGCGATATTAATCGCGAGATCATTCAAGATATCGGTAACAATCATTGTCACTTTTCACTCAGGGTGTCTACTTCGTGAAAAAATATAGAGAACCTGAAATTCTCAGGAATTTCAACCTAGAAAAATTAGGAAATTCTCATGGAATTTTATTCGGGCTATGGAAATTTGTTTAAACAAATTCTCTGTTTAATTATTTTATTTTGATATGGTCGACAATTTGTCGAGAAGGATGAATTATATATTTAAAATATATTATAAATTTTTTTGATATTTGTTTCTGTTCATATATTTAATATTTTAACAAAAAGATGAAAAATATTTATCTCACGAAAGCCGTTCAATTTTTTCAGATCCACATTTTCAAATCTAGTGCTTGAAACTTAATTTATTTTTCTCAATTAGTGAGAAGCATTAAAATAAAAAATATAATACAATAAGAAATTTTATTTGAGAAAAAGTTGCATTAAAAAATCTTTAAAAATCTCTGGAATGTTGAACAAAAATACTTGGAGAATCAAGAAATTTATACGAAATCCTATCATTTTATAGAAAAATAAATGAAGGATTGATATCGAAGAAGCATTAATTATTTCGAATTTTTAAATCAAGACAGGAGAAATTAAAAAAAATAGTAATCAATTTCTCATTAAAAGGAGGATATGAACGAGATAACATTTCGCTGCGAAATCTGCAATCCCGATAAAGTCGTTTGCATATTAATTTACATACGTGCAAACATAAATGTTTAATTAACTCGTCAATTACACGCGAGAGAAAATTCACGACACGGAGAGGAGCCGGTATCTGCCTCGGTTCGGCAGTATGCATCGCGCGTATGTCAGTCAGGACTTAATACAGACAATGATTCATCCGTCACGGTGAAGTCGAACCGAGTCGAGTCGAGTCGGCTTGAGCTGAGTCGAGCCGCGAGGCAAGACCGGGTCGGCGGCACCGGGAATGGTTCGCGAATCACAGCCGTATACGGGTGGAGTTGTCCCGTCGACGTATAATTATCGTAAGCCGGCATCGTTTCTATCGTGCCGTTTCCTGCCCACCGTTTCTCATTCCTCGTCTCACTCTCGCCGCGTGTTTCTTTGCGCGACGCCCCGATAAAGCGGGATTATAGCGGATGCGGCTCGCAGCAAGCGCGCCGATTAATACGCTTTATCGCCGGATGCTGAGAGTGATGTAGACCAAATGCGAGATACAAGTTTGCGAGAGAAGAGGAGAGACACTTGCCTGAAAAGTATGCGGTGGGATTTTGCTCGTCTTGGAATTCAATAAATCGGCTCTCGTAGATTTTTTTTTTATTAATTTAATAACTTCTTTTAAGATCTTCCCTTAAGGTCTTTGCTCTGCAATATATGGAAAATTGATGATTTTTTTAGGATGTTTTTTTGAAGAATATTAAGATCTGTTATGAATTTTTTAAAGAATTGTTTCAAGTGAAAAAACAAATGGTCTAGTTATCTAACTAATTATATATTCCGTGGGATATTTTTGGGATACTGAATCTAATTAGAATTCAAAAGATTAATATTTAATATTTTAATGATTTTCAAGGAATTAACAAATTTCAATAAAATTGAAGTATTATTTTTTTTAAAATAATACTACTTTGCTATTTTCCAATTTTCCTAATGAAATCAGTATCTCAAGACTTGGTCTAGATTTATTCCGTGAAATTTTGGGGAACTTAATTAAAATTCAAACAATTCGTATAATTCTATAGAATAAAACTAGATCGATTTTTTTATTTCAATCAATATTACACGAGAAGTAGCCACACCATTAAACTATTTTTCAACAATTAAATATCCAAGATTTAAAAATACTAACGTATAAACATCAATAAAAACATATGTAAAACGTTAAAAAGATCAATTTTTAATATCTTATTTTTAAAATTCTTAAAAATTATCAATTTTTTATATTGTTAGAGCAGACTGAGTCTTTAACAAAAGTCGGCAAAATCGAGAGAGAACACAAATAAAAGAAGCATAAATGTATTTTAAATCGAATAATAATACCTGCGAGAATCAAGAGCGAATTGCGTGAATGGCGTTTTAATGATCGTGACCTTCCTCGCAGACTTTTATATTACGTGCACTTTTATAACGCGACATAAAGTTCTATTGTTGATACCAGCGATCGGATGGTCTCTCTTTCTCATTGAATACTCTTCTCAACGAATACGATTACAGGGTTAAGGTTTCGTGAACTTCTTTTGCGTTCAATTGTATGTTCAAACCGCCTCGAATTCGATCCATCTAAGGATCTTTGCGATAATTTATTCATTGATATTTATCTCTATTTCTTTCAATCGCAAATTATATATAATAATATTGATGGAAAAATTGATTTTAAATTGACTAAAGAGAATCCATGATTAAATTGAAGAATATATCATGTTTTTCGAGAGCGAATAGAGTCGAACGTTCACCTGAAATGGAGGGTTAATCTCTTTTTTTGCATTCAATTGTATGTTCAAGCCGCCTCGAATTCGATCCATCTAAGGATCTGTGCGATAATTTATTCATTGATATTTATTTCTATTTTTTTCAATCGCAAATTATATATAATAATATTGATGGAAAAATCGATTTTAAATTGATTAAAGAGAATCCATGATTAAATTGAAGAACACATCATTTTTTTCGAGAGCGAACAGAGTCGAACGTTCACCTGAAATGGAGGGTTAATCTCTTTGCCACCCAGGAGGTACCATAAAAATAATGACGATATTTACGCGTCGCGCGAATACCGGTTGCCGACATCGACCCACGATCGGTTTCGCGCGCCCACGTTTGGTCTCGCGAGTCTGACCTTATTCGGAAACCCTCTCCGAGAGTGCCGTTCCCGATTTACCGCAGAGGTGGGGCTGTAGGGCAGGTGAGGTAGGTAGGTAGGTAGGTAGATAGGTAGCGTTTGTTCGGGGCACCCCGCTTGTCGAGAGGGGAATCGAGCGAGCCCAAGCGGGAAGGAACGTTGAAGGGGGAGAAAAGAGAGCCTTTTACAGCTGTTTTTAGCGGTCGCACTCTGCGGGCGAGTGTACCTTTGATATATCGCACGAACCTGCGGCGCTTACGTAACCACAATGCGACGACACCCTACATTCTCGGCTTTTCTACCTTCTTTTCTTATCTACCTTCGTTCATCGTGTCGTATATTTCAAGAAGAGAGGGTACGTTCTAAACTCTAGAGATTTCTCTCTTGATGCCATGATTAAAAATAGATCATGTTATTTGTAAAAGTTTAATCGATGAATAAATATAAGAGGATATAAAAATTTATGCAGGGTATATAAACTTCTTTCTTCTCGAGAAAAATCTTGAAAACCTGGTATTCTCAAGAAGTTTTGTTCTAGTTTGAAAAATAGGAATTTTTTATTAAGATTCAGGAAAAATAGGAATTTTTTATTAAGATTCCGGAAATTTTTTAAACAATTTTGATAATTTTGTTTTTATTTATGTTAGATTATGTGAATCGAAATAGCTTTAATTTTTAAACTTTGAAGAATGTTTCGAGTAGCTTAAAACTTAATAAATTTACTCTTTTGTAATAAATGTTAAAAAAATCATATACATAATAAATAAATTGATTCTATTTGAAATTTTGAACAAAAATTCCTGGAAAATCATAGAATCCTCAAGGAATTTATTTACAAAATTTAAGTATACGCTCTGTTATATAATAATTAATATCGTGCATTTATCTGTTGTTCAGTTGCATAATAAAAATTTATTTCTCTTTTATCTTTTTTTCAAAATATCTGATATATCTTTCAAAAAATTCTGGGAGATGCTTATTTTTGAAACCTATGCACCCCTAACATCTTTTAGCTACGTATTTTTTTGAATATTCATTTCAACTAGCTGATAGATAACAAACTATGCGAATGGCTCTTCGTAGATATCAGATAATATTTTGTGCTTCACATTTTATAAGACCTTGTACATATCACATTCGCGGAATCACGAATACAGGAAGTGGACGATCTGCGCGATCCGAGGACAGAGTAATGAACCAAGCCCCAATGTTGCGTAAGGATGAAAGCTGTTTTTCGCTGGTCCCTCGAAGAGGGATATTTGCATTCGCGTAAAGCGCGCATTATCTGGAAATGGCGTTACTCGAAGTTGCGTGATCAACGTGTTTGTCATAACAATAATTATAATAATGACATGTTGCGGTCAACGTATAACGATAAGACCAAGAGTGAATCGCTGCGCTCTCCCACGCGTTCGACCTAATTATATATAAATTATTATCGTATTTACATCGATTTGTTGCATTTTTTTGTTTCCCGCAGCATTGGAAATACGTCAAGGTATGTATCATGATTATTGACTATTCCTTTTACGATGTACGTGAATGAAAACGCATTCAAGTCCATTATTGGAAACTTGGATGGAATAGTATATTTAATTGAATTATTGATACATTTAATTGAAATATATTTAATAAATATATTTATGAAATATATTTATGAAATATATTTAATAAATATATTTATGAAATATATTTATGACATATATTTAATAAATATATTTATGAAATATATTTATTACATATATTTAATAAATATATTTATGAAATATATTTATATTTAATTTATATTTAATTGAAGACATGATTTTTTTTTAAGAATAAGCAATATATCTCCATGCGACATTTTAATTGTTTTAGTTGAAACACACAGACCACAAATGTGGAATAACGAGGAACTGTAACGCAATAATGATGACAATAATGTGTCATTTTTTAGACGCGGTTGTTACAACCGCAATTCTCTCTATAAAGACTATCCTTATAACATACACGTAAAATTATGAACGTAGGTCGCAGGTGGATTAATAATAATTACTTTCGTTCCTGTGTCGTAAAAGCATTCGTGTTCCGTTATGTGTCGCGTCTTATTCTCCCGTGACTCTAATGCCTTTATGACAGACTGGCATTCGTGCCAAAACGTCAGAAAAGCACGTCACGCGACAGTCGACGATATATTCCTACGTAATAATGCTCTCGCCCTTTTCACCGCATGCCCGACCCATCACTCGTGACTTGAACGTGCGAGGATTTCGAATTTTCGCGCTGCCCGAAGCGACTAATCGTGAAATTCCCAGTCAATCACATTGTTTAAGGCAATTGAACATCAATTCACGAGGCCGTGTCATTTCATGAGAGTCAATTTTAGCGTTGAAAGGTACTTTATATGCAGAGAGAGTGACTACAATATTTTCCTTCATTTTTTTCACACACCTTTAAACGCGATAAATTTGAATAATGAGATATAATAAATATTAATAATGAATATATATAAATAATAATGAATATGTAATAAATAATAATATAACTATTGAATATAAATCTGTTACATATTTGAATTTTATACAAAACGCGATTCCTCTCTAATAAATCTGGTAAATATCAGAAGCACGTTTTATTGGTCCTTAAGACGAAAGAAGTTCCTATGAGTTTCTGCTCCGGAAATACTTCCGTTTCAAGTTATAGGGCTTTAAAACTGACGGAATCTGTTGTTTATTATCTCAACGTAAACAGAACTTGCCAGCAGTTGGCGAACAGTTTTGGAAAACTTTGCTTCTGTTTTAATTATTACACACGTCTTAGTAGGAAAAATATGCAAATTATAATGTAATTATTATTAATCAAATTTTTAATATGTAGAAAATATTTGCGAACTGCGTTCAAAACTTTGCTTAATTTTACTATAATTAATGAAATAAAAAATAAATGATTTAGTCAAAATTATATATATATATATTTTTTTTTTTAAATAAAAGTAATTGAATTTATATATTATATGATATTTAAATAATATTTATATAATAATCAAACGTTTTTAAATAAGTGATTTTTACGACGTTTTAAAAGATCTATGTAATTTGTATATAATTTGGGTTTAACCTTTCTTTTTTGGGATTTCCAAGTTTCCGCTTGACTGCCATTTTTATGATATATGGTGCACGCATTGCGACATTTGTGGTTGAATCGCGTCAATATTTGTAGAGTTCGCATGTATATTCATCGATGTGATAAAACGATTAATCCTCTTCACAATCGCGACATAAAAAAAACGAATGTCACAATGTCGTAAAACTGGAACGCAATCATCGCGAGATCATCCTTTGAGATGCGCAGACATGACTTATTGCGATTAGTCACGGTTACGAAAGATACAAAGTGAATGTATGTGCGTGAAGCTGGCGTGTATTTATAAATTGTTAAGAGCTCTGCCTTTATTTTTCCACTGGCTAGATTTTGGCTCTTGATAGTTTAAACAAACAGTTCTGATTATTAAAGAAATTGTCTTCAAGTACTCAGCTTCGCTCACGTCAAGGCGGGTCACGTGCTGTCAATCGCTTGACATTTATACTCACTGTACAAGACACTCGACGCACATTCAGGAGTGGATCCATGTATGAAATCTAATAAAATTTAATTATATTGACTTTGGAGAGTAATATCTTGAGATGAAAATATTTCAATTGTATCACGAACATATATATTTTGATTAAAAATATCGATCATTTTGACAGAAATAAATAATAAAATTTTTAATAAAAGCGAAATACATTTTTTCAATTGTATCACGAACATAAATATTTTGATTAAAAATATCGATCATTTTGACAGAAATAAATAATAAAATTTTTAACAAAAGCGAAATATATTTTGAGTTTGTGCTGAAAATGATCACTTTCGGATTCCAAAAGATCGCTCCTGTTTGCGCGAATTTTCTTTACTAACCCACGGTGACGGTTTTCATGGCTATCTTTTTCAGACTTACACGTGCCTACACGTATGCGTCCTTGTGAACAACCAACCATGCTGTTCCCCCACCGTAAGTTTATAATTTTCGTTCGCTATCTCGGCCGTGATGACACGCATGCATGATTTATCGTTGTGTTTACATGGTAGATTCCGCTTTCGTGTGAGCCGCGATGTTGCGAATTAAAAAATTACACTGAGAAAAAAATCTGCGGTTGCATTAATTAGAATTCTAGTAGATTCAACCAGTATGTCTGTTGGAAAATGGACGAACCAGAATTCTTGTAGGAATTACCAGATGAATCTGATTAATTTCTTCCTGTTCAATTTACCAAATTTTCTGGTTAATAATACTAAACTCGCTACCAAGTCGTCTAAAATTTTGTCCATCTAATCTCAAAAGTCTGTTTAATATTCTGAATTCCGACAAGATTATTGAATAAATTCAATTCAGATTATTGAATAAATTATTTTAAATTCAGTTTGTTAGAAATTAAACTGATAAACAGTGATGCAAGAAGAGGATGCAGCTCAAACACACACAATCAGAGAGCTAGCATCCTCTTCCTGGCACTATTGCTCGTAAGAGAAAAAAAATATACTTTGGATTTAACATTAATACTAGTCCTTTATATACATTTTATGGCAAATATTGAATACGAGTTAAGTTAAGAAGCAAGCAAAGAAATTAATGTAACAAGAAATTTGATAGATCCAACCAGAAAATACTAATCAAATTCTTATAGTAAAATCTATTAAACATTCTAGTTATAAAAAATCGAGTCTTATTATGATAACTAGAAATTCTTGTTTAATTTAACCAAATGCCTTCAATCATATACGTCTTGTTGATACAATCACGATTTTTCTCAGTGTATGTAAAACGCGCAAAACGCGATACATCGCGCTTTTGAAGATCCCTTCTCGCAACAAAACGCGTTTTGTTATTAACTAGTGTCATTAACGCGCCACTATCCAATAAACACCTGCCCGAGATGACGCACTCACTTTGCACCGTTGGAGTTGATCATTGGTCAACAGATATGGTAGCGAATGCGTCGGGCTTAATGCGTATTTTCAAAACCGGTCTGTAGATCTGCATGCGTTTATGCTTTTGTGCGTAGTCGCGATTCGAGTGTCTGGAATCGGGAAACACCGATTCCAAACGATTCGATAATTTTATTAGTCCCATCTTTAAGGATCCAGTCTGTACAAAACGTTGATGATTTTCAGGAATTTTTGACGAATATTAGAAATTAATTTTGTTTTTTGATATTTTACATATGTTTAAATAGACTGTCAGTGTTTTTAGATCCTTAGTTTTAGATATTTAGCCTTTTTTGTTCAATAGGAGCCTCTTCGATGCTGCTCTTCATGTCTGAAATGAAGAAATGTGATCTAGTTTTATTCTATATTTTAAGGATATTGAATTTAACTTCTCAATAAAAAGAAATTAAAAAAGAACAAAATAATTTAATATTAGATATTTTACCTTTGCCGATTTTTTTTTCATTTTTAAAGATCAGAAAAATACGAATTATTAATTTTTTAAATCCTAATTAAGTTCAATATTTTAAAAATATTCTCTACAATAAAATTATGCCGAGTTTGTTTATTTCAGACAATTATATGAGAAGCAGCATATCTTACATTTATCTTTTTAAATGCTATGTGCAAAGGCTTATATTGAAAAAATAAAAGCTAAATATGAAATTTAAAAATATTGACCTACTGTTTACATCAATAAAACATATGCAAAACGTCAAAAGATCAATTTCTAATATTTTTTATCAATTTTTCATACTATTAGAATAGACTTAATCTATAGGTTTTATGGCAAATTCTTCAAATTATAACATGATTTACAATATAATTGAAAGGTTTTGGATATTCGTCTTCCAATGTTGCATGTTTTATTACGTCATGCGCGAATAGAACTATGATTTGTTGTCGAAGATATCTGTACACATTCAACTCATAGTCACGCTTTCATTATTTGCATTATACATACATATTATACACACATACGCAAAACATTCTCAACATTCCTGCGATTTTTCATTTTCTATTTATGGCAACTGCTTAGACGAGTACATGGCCAATAGATTCTCTCCCTTATGCGTCCTCCCATTTAGCTTTCCGGTTTGCCTTCTCTGTGTCAGTTGTATCAATATTTTTTTCTTTTTCTCGCTAGATGTGCCATTCGATTCGTAAACGGCAATTAACTTGGAATTTTGGAATTTGTTGCAGGCGAGCAGACATGTCGGCGATCTATTCGAGGATCTACGCGACGGTCACAATCTCATCTCCCTGTTGGAAGTGCTTTCTGCCGAACATCTGGTGAGTATTTTTTAAAATTTCATTTTCAAAAGTAGAAAAAGATATTTGTAAAATATTCGAGCTTGTATAAGTCACATTTTTCGCTTCCATTTAAATTAAATGCCTTCACGAATTTGTTTCTTGCGACATTTGCTTTATAAATTCGAGTTACTTCCACGTCTTTGGAAGACCCATATTAAGCTGGCTCCGCTACCAACGCCAAATAAAATCTTATCTATTAAATAATTTAATGCTAATTTGTTGCCGTAGTCCGGATTTTGTTGCTCAAACCGTTTAGCAGAAAATTACGTTTAAGTACATTGATATCTGTTTAATAGTATATGGAAACTGATAAATCGGCTAATGTATTCAAAAATAACTCTCTCTCTCTCCCCCCCTCTCTCTCTCTCTCTCTCTCTGAATTTGTTATATATATATATATATATATATATATATATATATAACAAATTCAGTCTTATTATTATATATTCTCTTGTGCAAATGAGTGGCATCGCTCGGCGGTACTTATGATATGTTGGTTTTAATTAAATAATACAATTTTTACAAAATGTTTTTACATTATTTTGAAGCAACAAAATAGCAACAAATTCTAGTGTAATTAATTTTTTAATTGGACCATTTTATATATTTTTTTCATTATGGGCGGGCTAGCTTAATGTCAAGCTGTCCCCCCCCCCATTTTAAATGTAATTTTCTGCTAAACGGTTTGAGCAACAAAATCCGGATGACGGCAACAAATTAGCACATAATTAGCACTAAATTATTTAATAGATAAGATTTTATTTGGCGTTGGTGGGGGGGCCAGCTTAATATGGGTCTTTGAAAGAGAAGTATAAAGGTACATTGAATTCTCTAGTTGAGTCGAGCTGTAACACAGGCTTGCGAGGTTTTTTTTTTTTAAGATGCAATAGTGATTTTCGACGTAATTTTGTGAGCTGAATTCGAATCTGGCCGCTGAATTTGCGTAGCACATCACGTTTTTGAGTAATTTGTAATTGGCTCAAAAATCGCTATTTTGGCCAATTTCATGAATTTATTGCGAGAAAACCAAATTTTTTGAAATATTTCTGCCAAAGGCATCGTATAAATACTTACTTTCGCCTTTCAAATCCACTTTCGATTACCGCCGCACGATTTTTCTTCGCTGAGATATATAAGTATGACGTTGTAAGAAAATTTACGTTAAAGAAAATTTATATAGACATCAATATGGTAGATCCATGATGTTGAAAGTTGAAAAGACTGACATGTGTCAGGTTCGGTTGTCCAAAAAAGTATTGTAAAGAAATATCTAATACAGTTATTACACATTTTGATAAATTTTTCTAAATTTTATGCCTTTTTATTGTGATTCTATTCGCCATATTGGATGCGCCATTTTTAATTTCAAAAGGTGAAAGAAGGTTTAAAAGTGTATAGTTTTATCCTAATTTTGATTCGTAGTGAAATAAAGAAGTGGCACGGTTGATTTAGAATGGCTTATTAGATCCCTATGCATGACCAGTCTTATGACTTGTATATCTGAGCGAAAAAAAATCGTGCGGCGGGGTAATCGAAAGTGGATTCGAAAGATGAAGGTGAGTACTATACGATGCCATTGACAGAAATATTTCAAAAAATTTGGTTTACTCGCAATAAATTCATGAAATTGGCCAAAATAGCGATTTCTGGGCTATTCAACTACAAATAACTCAAAAACCTGACGTGCAAATTCGGTGGCCAGATTCGGATTCAGCGCACAAAATTACGTCAAAAATCACTATTGCATCTTAAAAAGAAATGTTGACCCCCTTTTTTGCAGGTCTGTGTAATCGACAATTGGATCAAGCGGACGACAATTGTCCTCGATAGAAAGCAATTAATGATTCGATTGTGCTTTTCAGCCACGGGAGAGAGGCCGAATGCGTTTCCACATGTTGCAAAACGTGCAAATGGCCCTCGACTTTCTACGCTACAAGAAGATCAAGCTGGTGAACATACGGGCGGAAGACATCGTGGACGGTAACCCGAAGCTCACCCTGGGCCTGATATGGACCATCATTCTGCACTTCCAGGTAAGTGCCGCGGGTATTTCAGTTAGGAGACGCGACGATAATGTTAGGTATGGACAAGTGCGACCCTCTCCGAGTTAACGGTCGCGATAACGACGTATTCTAAGCTAACGCATGGTTCGCCTTTCGAATCGACCATGCGTCTCGGGACAACGGCATTCCGGTTTATGCTGAATTTGCCAGTAGCGCGCGAGTATCGCGGCATCGTAAATTTTTATGCGCTCGTACAAGCGCGTACAACTGCGTTTTACGTTTATCTGATATTCACGGGAACATCCCGGAATCGCTCGCGCTCCTTTCTAGTTATCGATCTTTTAGAATCTCCTGAGAAAATTGAACAGAGAACCATTCATATCCACTATCATATTTATTACGGTACCGGCCAAAAGTATATCACTTTTATATTTTTTGAGGATAACTAATTCAAAATGCATATATTTAATTAATTTTTTTAGGCTGCAATTATTGAATGAAAAGTTTATTGTACAGTATCTTATATACATTAAGAAAAAGATAATGTTGAACTAACAACATCAGTGTAATTGGAATTATTTTAATAATTCAATAACATTTTTAATCAAATCAATACACCATGTATTGATTTGATTAGTAATGTTATTGAATTAATAAAATACATTTTAATTACACTGATGTTGTTAATTCAACATTACTTTTTTTTCGGTGTACCTACTATTAAAACAAGTGTGACTAGGTAGAAATATATGCACTTTGAATTAAGGATGTTTTGTATCTATTTTCAAAATATTGAGAATTTAATGAAAATTGTACAGAATGTCCTTACATATGTTTAGAATCTTCAGTACAATTTTTCAATCGATTCACTAAAGCGTTCACAAGTTATAAGGATTTTAATTTGCATCGAATTAACATGTGTTCTTATGGGAAACGTATAACCATGTCGATTCAAATGACAAAAACACATGGAAATAATATTCAGAATTTGTTTAAAATTTGTCAAAAATTTAGATACAGAGGAAATATTTGGTCAAATAATATTATACAAATACTAACTGGTTAAAAAGATATTAAATATAATTTAATGTTAGCCATGTATCTGTCACAAGGCGAAATTCTTTGCCAAAAGTAAATCATTTCGATTAACAAAATTCGGAATATTTCAGTAAAAACGTAATAAATATTAAAAAATTCCACACAATTTCTTACTCAAAATATTATAACAATTTCTTACCGAAAGTGAATATATTCGTCAATATTGATTTTCAGCTACTTTTTGCTGGGATTGTACATACAAAACATTCTATCTTTAAAAAACATAAAGGTGATATATTTTTGACCGGTACTACATCCTTTTAATTTTTTTTTTGTATTATGTATAAATTTCGATTTTCTCTTTACATAAAATCGAACGAGGAATTCAAAAGTGTTTTAAATCCTTTTGAGTTTAGAATTTAATTTTTGCTGAAACGATTTATTTGATTTTTAATTATCCTTTAGCAATTATGAGATTACTGATGTCTTGATAATTAAAAATAATCGTCATTCTCCTGAGTTTCTAGTATCTGGAGCACAGCTTGTATAATGCAAATGAGGCGGCTGCTATGTCAGCATGATGGAAACCGCCCATCGTAATTTACTGCAATGTCCGTTGGACTATATATGATGCGTCCAGTCGGCCGTGAAATTCGATAGAAAGTGAAATGCATACAGAGTGTCCGATAGAACGTAACAGTTTTTCACAATCGCGCCGTCAATCATTTTCATTTTTAACAAGTCTGGAATTAAATGTAGCGAGATTTTTACACCGTATCACGTGAAAACGTTAGACACATCGAATTTTTATTCAGGAAAGGATGAGATTTTTTTTTTAATTTAATATGATATACTCGTGAGACAGCCTGTATAATGTTCTTTCTGGATGATTGCGCGAAAATAACGTCCAATATATTCATTATAGTCTTTTGCATCATGAAACGCCGCGATATGGCTGGAATAATGTCACAGGTATTTTGCATTTGCGTACTCGCATGTGCGTGTACCGTTGGACTAACGGAATACGTTGGTTCTACTAGGTGCGGCAACACTTTCGTCGTATTGGAAATGATAAACCACGCTCGGTCACTTTCCGCGGAAAATAAGCTTTTTACGAGTATGCGAGCTGCTTTTTTAATTTGACATTTTCATCGATTTGATGTTTTATTTATTCCAAATTTAATCAAACTGCAACGTCAGATACATCGTTCAAAGGTCTAAAGTAATAGGAGTTATTATTGTGAAGCCTCAGAGCTCAGAGTTGGCCGGAAAAATTCAATGAATGAAAAAAAAGTCATGGCAAAGTTCCGATTTTTATTGTTTTGGATTTTATTCAATGGAATAAATTGGCAAAAACTAATACGTAACATTAAAATATATTTATACAATTTTATGCAAAAAATGTTTGGCTTTTCAATTAAGGAATCATGCTAATCACTGTAGTTTAAAAAATAAAATCGATATAATAATAAAGTCTTTCAAATATGTGAAATGTTTGAAACAAAAACTTTGGAAATATAAATGTTACTAAATTTTATATTCATTTTTAATTTGATATATACAAGAAAATAGTAATAGAATTAAAATTTTTACTATTACTAATATATAGATCTGATTTGCATTTACCTTTCAACATCTAACAAAAAACTAATTTATTCATTGCAAATTTTGTTTTGAATGAAGCATAATATTGTCCTTAATTTAAAAAACATTCTTTCAATTGACAGATAAATTTCAATAAAAATTTCTATTTATTTTAACATAAATAATATATTAAATTATTTAACATAAATAATATATTAAATAATAAATTTAATAGAAAAGACTAGTTTATGCCGATTTTTTCCGGAAAGAAACTGGTGTTTACTGCCATGGATTTTATTCAAAAAACGTGAAATTTTGCCAATCTTGAGTGAAAGCATGTACTCGAAAGAATTTTGCTCGCAATACATTCTCCTATTTCGAAACCTAGAAAATCGCGGAAAGATAATTCGAGCGGAAGATAATTCGTAGAATTAGCTATCGGCATTTCGTCATCGGTTTCGCGTAGAGTTCTCTTTCTCCAGTCTTCTACCTCTAATTTGTGTCATCGTAGCGAGACTAGATGCTGCCCCAGCGAGGCACATTTCATCCCGTTGCATTTTACGCGCGCGCAAAACGTTTCTCGGTCTGTTGCACTTGGTATCTCACCGGCCACTGGCCTGTGTCATAAAACTTGACAGGTTGACTATTAGCATGTCGATGAACTCCGCCTATTCTCTCTCTCTCGCCTTCAACAACGTGATATTTATATATTATGCGCGCGGAACTTCCACTTTTCCCACAATCTCTTTTCCAAGAGATGCCCCTTCTTGTTTCTCATCTTTTTAACTTGGGGCTTGGGACGCCCGACTGTTGGGTCCCACCGGCGATAAGCGTGTCGATCAATCGGGAGGGCGATGTTTAAGCGACGTGACTTGACGCGTGCACGCTAATCAAGCGTCACGCGTACCCTCGCGATAGATCTCCCGTGCGTCCAACGTTATTTTTAGATCGCCCGTATCTTTCGATGTAACGTTGCGGTAGGTGCCGGTAAAACGAACGTATATAGCTCACGTGCATTGTGCCAAAGAAAAGCGAAAGCGAGGACGGCCGCTCGTCTCGCGCCGGACCCCGGCGGTCGAGAGTAAGTCGCGCTCGGCCGAATCCCCGCGACGCCGCGGCATGAAATAAATTCAATCTAGGAAAACACGTCTATTTTTGCAGTTTGTGCACATTGAGAGTCCAGTTTATTCTTAGCAGTATGAACAAAATTGATGATTCTTGGAAATTTTTCCTCGAAGAATGTTACAAATTAATCTCTTCGACGTTTTTTATCTTGTAATTATTATAGAGATTTCGATTTTGCTGATATTTTTTTTTTAATTTTCAAGATGAAAAAAATAATATATTAAACATCAATTTTGTACAGTGTAATTAGGTTTATGTAAAACCGAAGCAGTAAGTCAGAATTGATAAGTAAAACTGATAATGATAGATTTGAAAAGCGAGAAAAACATTGCCAGTTTATTCTTAGCAGTACGAACAAAATTGATGATTGGGAATTTTTCCTCGAAGAATGTTAAAAATTGATCTCTTCGTTTTTATCTTGTAATTAGATATTTTGCTGACGTTTCTTTTAATTTTCAAGATGAAGAAAATAATATATTAAACATCAATTTTGTACAGTGTAATTAGGTTTATGTAAAATCGAAGCAGTGAGTCAGAATTGATAAGTAAAACTGATAATGATAGATTTGAAAAGCGAGAAAAACATTGCTCAAGGACCCAATCTTCTCTAGTAATATGAGAAAAATTGATGATTTTTAAGAGTTGGAAATAAAGAGAATATAATTAGATATTGATCTTCTTGATTTTATATATATATCTTTTTAAATTGATTTTACATACATTTTTATTGATGTTTAAATTGTATATTTTATTCTCTTTATTATTTAACATTTTTGATCAATAATAACTTTTGCGTGTGTTAAAAAATGACAGTATATGATATATTTTGCTTCCCGTGTAATTATCCGGAAATGAAAAAAATTCGTTTAGTTTTATTATAATTTGTGATGTTAAACCTAATTAGAATTTAAAGAAATAATATTTAATTTTTCTGATCTTCAAGAAATAAAGAATTTCAGCAAAATTAAAATATCTAAATTTAAAATGACACTATTTTTTCTGATGAAATTAGATTCAGTATCTTTAAAATATCTTACGAAATAAAATTAGATCGAATTTTTTCACACAATTATAGTATAATGAATAGCATGAACTAAAAATATAATGAATTTAATATAACGAATCTCTTTTGAACTATAAATTTTTAAACATGATACGCAGAATATTTTTATATTTTCAATAAAAAAAGTTACATATTAAAGATTTAAAAATACTAATGTACTATTCAAATATCAATAAAACGTCAAAAAATATTCTGAAAAAAAAATTTCTAAAAATTATTA